AGAAACGATTGTATTATACTCCTCTTGTTTTCTTTTGGAGTATTTTTCCTTTTTTTTTTTCTTTTCCTGTAGTTCATTTCTCAAGTCTATGTGAAAATTTTTATTAAAAGAGAATGCAGAAGATACTTCCTAAAAATATTTTATTCCAAAATGTTGATTTCATTATATGGGTTAGACAGTTGGTTATTAACTTATATTAACTATGAATTCCATTCTGAAATTCTACAAAATAATCTTATAATTTTTTTTTTTTTAACAAATGACATAGTGGCCTAGGATTTTAAAAATCAAATTTTGGTAGTTTGAATCTCTGTAATATTATGTGCATCCTCCACACAAATAATTTGTAGCAATAATATAGTTATTTGTATTCTAGAATATTGCATACCAGTGATATTTCAATATAAATATAGATCAATGATTTACCAAGTACTTTTACATGAATGAAAGGTTTCATTTATATTTGACTGGCTTTTTTTTTTTCTTTTTATCTCTAGAACTTTAAATGACTTTTTAAAATCAAGCTAGGAAAAATCCTGCTGTTTGGCAGTTAAAAACTTGATCTGGTCAAATGAAATTTAATTATTGTCTACTTGTTGGTTAAGCTGCTGACCCCTACTTAACAATCCTGAGAGCTGTGACTGGCCATCCTGTTTTGACCTGCTTTTGCTGCAAGTCAAAACTCTTCTGAGACCTCATTCTTTCTAAATATTACCACATCAATGGTAGAACTAGACAATCTCTAATCAGTACCCACTTTGCTGTTCTTTTCCTCGTCTCTTCAGGTACTTACATAGCAATATCGGGTATTGTATAAAGTAGACATAAGGACTTATGAACACTGCTTTTTTAAATTGTAATTCAATGAATCACAATGTCTTTGTCATGAATGTGATGCAGAAGATCAGTATTTTTCCTCTGTATTAGGCTGAGCCAGCCAGTTAGTGTAGGACTCAATCAATTGCTAAATTCAGCTCAGATTGTGGGCCTAAACCTGCTTCTTTTAGAATCAATATTAAAATTATGAGTAAATCCAGTGAAAAGAAAATTACTGCTTCAGACCAGTAGATATTGAACAGAGGAGGAAAAAATATAAATCAGTTAAATTGCAAATAAACTATAATTTTTAAACCTAAAATCTAAAGTTATAATAGAACGAAAAATTTACTAATCTATACATAATATAATCACTGTTTAGGGATAGCAGAATCTGGAGTTTCTGGGATAAGGAAAAGTCAGAGGCAAAAGAGTTTTAGAGACATAAATGTAACTCTACTCAAATTCTAGGTTCCAAATCTCCACTTAGCACAGACTCACTTCTTTGTCATGTTCATGACAAACCAGTTTGAGGTCATTTTGTGAACACAGAGCATGTGGCATAAATGCTACTTAGAGAGGACTGAGGATCCATCAGAAGAATGTTGTTAAAAGAAAAAAAATATTAAAGACAATATCCCCTGTTTTAGAATTTATCTTCAAGTTGTTTTTTTCATACAGGTGTGCAGTAAAGCATATGTTAGTGTTGTTTATGAGAAACAATCTTTATTAATTAATTTCAGGGGAAATTTTGGGGGCTAGAGTTCGTATGAATTCTGCTTGGTTTACATAGTAAAGCATACAGTAGGACTTTTCTAATCAAAATAATAGAAGTCCCAGCTGATCTCCATCTTGTTTCTATCAAGTTTATACTACAGTTTATATCTACTCTAGGTCAGTATAAGGAATTAAGTGTGAGTTGAACTTTCTCTGGAACTTTTAATAGCATGAAATTGGAGAAAAATTATCAATTCGAACAAAAGTGATGTCAGTCTCATGAAGTTATAACCAACAGGAAGCAAATTAACTGTAAGGCAAAAAAACCTTTCTGTAAAGCCTACATTAACCAAAAATTGTCTGAAAGTTTTCCTCCCATAATCTCAGGGGAAGCTGAATTTCGTAATATTGGAAAAGGGGGAATGATTATTGCTTACTTCCAATGTATTATTTATATCCTTTAAATATCTGAATATTAACCTTGTATAATAAAATATAAAATGTATGTTTATGGGTAATTTAAGTGAGTAATTTATGTAGGGAATTCACAGTGTAACACAGAGCTATATTCTTTCTGAACCACTTCCTCAGAGAGAGCTGCTGCCCTATGCAGTTGAAGAGATGAAGAAGCAAAAGTGTTAGAATGTCTGCAAAGACACTCCCCAATATACTCTGCAGCTAAAGTTCTTAAAAACACATCTGCTCATTCTGTACATTTGGGGAAACTGCTGAGGTCAACAGCTCAGTGCTCCCTGAAAGGACAGTTTCTAGCCAGAAAACCTCATAAGAGTAGCAGAAGAATGAAAGGTCTGGTGTCACTGAAATTTATACTGCTATGAATTCCAAAATTACAGGACAGAAGACTTACTTTTCCCACAGTTGTTTTTGGGATTTGGTGTTAATATGCTTTCCTCAGCAACTTACTGAGCTGTGTGGCTTTTATAATTCCCCTCCTTGCTCACTGAAAGTGTCTGTGGTGGGCATATATAATTACAATTGGAGGTGACAATTGGTTCCAAAAAATGCATTTCACTTTTCCTTTGATATATGCTATATAGTTTTTCTATTTTTTTCCTTTAGAAAGAGAACATTCAATTTGCAGTGGGGATGAAAACCTAGATTTTTTTCCCTTTGATCCTGAAGATTTCTACCCTGGGTACAGAATACATTTTTAAAATGTCCTGTGACATTGACTTTTTGAATCATACAATGACTTTGTTATAGGAAGCACTAGATATAATTCATCCAACAGCTTTCAAAAAATCTAGCAGTTGCACAGTAAACTAATGAATGGGGTTTTTTTCAGTCTGTGGCTATTTCACTTGTTTCTACTCTAAGAATCTTATTTTCTGTAGCTTTTTGTCTGTTTCATCTCCTTCTGATATATGGCCAGACGATTAAGCAAGTAATTGTTTTTACAAACACAATTCAGTTCCCTCTGGTGCTCTCTGACACGATTCTTTGCTTTAGCAAAAGACCACCTTGGTGCTATGCTGGTCTGTAAGAGAAAACTATTTGGAGACAGTGGAAGAATTTGCTTCTTAAAGTGGAAAGTGGGCTATTCACATGTGGAAACTAGGGGAGATATTTGAGTTTCTCATGTGAGATGAAGTTATCTTCAAAAAGATGTCATCACTGGCATGGCCAGCTACAGCAGGAGAATATTAGTAGGTGTAAACACTGTGTTGTATTTCTTTTTTTAATTGGAAATGTACCACAATGTGTAGTGAACTACAGGTTATACAGTGCTACTTGAAGCAGCACAAGTAGTATATTCTGTTGACTATAACACCTCTAAAATGTGTAGCTATTGAAAAGAACACTACAGTGAATACATTATTCTGCTGAATGTTCTAAAATGAGGTAAAACTAGGAGAAAACATTTCTCCTATGATAAAACAACAAAGACTATTTTAAATCACAGAGTTATTCTCATAAGCTCCTTTTGTCCTGAGAAATCCACCCAGCGAACTGGTACAGCATAAATATCCTGAAAATGATGTGCAGATTCTGCACTCAGTGGTAGCAAGAAATAACCATGTGCAAATAGGTTCAATCTGCAGAGGTAATGCCTGGTACTCAGTTGTGGCTAAACCTTTGGGCTCATTTTTTCCCCCTAGTCTTCTCACATGAACTTAAAGTGTTATTTCCTTGGACTGGACTAGGAGTCATCTATAAAAAAAAACTATGAGACAGATCCTGAGCCTTTAGTAGTACTCTACTGAAATTGCATGACTAGAAATACTTAGAATTCAACATTATTCAGGAAAAGCACCAAAGCGTTGCACATCTCTCTTCCTAGCCCAGTTTAGAGACCATTAGTCAATTACAGGAAGCCTCCAGGATATTATCTTGGGGAGACACAGACAAGGTGCTGCCCTTGACTGATAGTCAGTCCTGGCGGTCAAGTCAGCTGCACTGTCACAGCAAGGCTGCATTACTCAGATAAAGTGGACTCCTGAGCTCATTCAGTCTTGTTTCAATATTTTTGGGCAACTGGCAGATAAAGGTATATGGAGTATTTGAAATATTCATCATAGGATCATTTTTTCCCTGCATTTCCACACACAGTGTGCTGCATAAAGGGAATATAATGCCTAATTGGAGCACTCAGCTACAAATGTAAATATTTAACATAATAAAAATGATGTCATATAATCCCACACATAGCGAGGCTCCAGGACTTCCTCTTTCCATTCATCAGCCTGAGCATGACATTGTTGCCCATTCTTGCTCTCCTTTGTCACTAGGTCAGCTCCGAAAAAGCACTTTTCACTTCTGGGATTTAGGAGCACATATCAAAGGGTTGAAACACCCTTTGAAGAAGAGACCCAGAATCTCATGCAGTCTTTTGCTTTCTGATATGGTTCCCATCCATAATAAAATTTATGGGGGAGAAAGACCCTGCTTTAAAGGGTTTGTAGAATAGACAACAAAGGCAAGCAGGCTAAAATCTCAAAGCCTGCCATTGTGTGCATGAAAACAGAAATTTAACTGCAACTTCTGTTATCGTGTGCTCTGTTCCAGTGGAATTCATTCAGGTGCTTCTTGCCTGTTCAGTTCTCAGTTTGACCAATCTTGGCAAGAAGTTATGCAAAGACATGGATTTTGTTTTTCTTTTATCCTTCTTTTTATTTCTGTCATTGTCTTTTTATTTGCGAATAGATGGCAACAAAACAAAGAAGCACATAATTTTGGCATACAAATGTCCAGCTATTGCTAATACTTGCAGCATATCTCATTTTACTGAGGTCACCATAGCAAGACAATTAGTTTGCAAATCACTATATATATTAATTACATTATAAAAATACTTTGTAAGTATGAGCTGAGAGTAGTAAAGTGACAAAAGAAAAAAAAACTAAAAAAGAAAGAAGATATTGTAGAAATTAAACTTTTGGGTAAAATAGTTTGTATTATTTCAACAATATTTGTCTTCATATGACTTTTTGCTGATTTAATTGCAGGTAGATCTTCAAGGTGAAATAACAGGAGTTATGTTCACTGCTACATTTGCACTTATCAGCTTTGAGTTCTTTCATGACTATGTTAAGAGTGAAAAGTTTGAGAAGCATTATTTTAGGTTATAAATATTTAGTCTTCAAAAGAGCTTAAGTTGCTCACAATATTGTCCTTAAAAGAAAACAGAAAATAAAGAGCAAATACTGCACATAATATTGCCAACTATAATTACTACAGACCTTTCCACAGTGTCTAACAAACTATAAGCTTTCATTGAACATCTTTTAATATCATTAGTAGAAATATAGACATATATATGGGAGTTTCAGGAAGACTACTAATATGAAAAGACCCATCAGAACAAACTTCATTTTAGGCTAATAAGAAATAATATGTGGGGTTTTGCATAGCTATTAATTTCATATTGCTTTTCTTCTTACTACTTTTTCTTTACTCTCTCCAGCAGAATAGCTAAGTTCACTTTGAACACTACACAAAAAATATTTAAGTACAGAAACATTTTTCTATTTTAGAATGATATCACTGATTCTTTGAGAAGATTTTTATACTTTTAAAATCTTTTGGCCATATTCTTTCAATACTTTTAGTCTCTCATCAAATACTATGATATAAAATACCTTAGAATAATCATGCTTTTCTGTACTGAGTTGTGCAAGTTCTGCTTTTATAGAGAACTATATCTAACTCCTCAAGAGGGCAAGGCCGGTTTAGGCTCCCAGAAATCATTGTAAAGGAACCTGACTTAGTAGACTTACAGACTAATAACTGGTGGTTTGCTGTATAGTGCAATTCTCTTTACTTTTCTATGAGTATTTACATGCAAAACCAGGTCTCTAATAAGTTCTCTGACAGGGAAGCATGTGCATGTGTTAAAATTTCTTAAATATTGATGGATAGGAGTTGAATACCTATTTCTAGTCAGACAGAGAAGTGAAAAGATTTATCTACGACTGTCTGATCAGTGAATAAAAGTGGACAGTTTCCTTACTTCTGATTAGGAAATATGCCTGCAACCTATTGTGACTACTTTCTATATGTATCCATTAAAAAGGAGGTTTTTGTATTCACAGGCAGCAAAAAAACCCTTAGGTTTTAAACATCAATCCTTTGTAGTGTATGAGTTATTCAAATAGTTCAAATCATTCATCCACATCTCATTCATAGAAGAAAAGAGAGAAAAATACCCCAAAAGTTATTCAGCACCAGAATTTTGTATTACATATTTCCTTCCTCTTAACAGTACAATTGTTCGTGCTCTTTACTGTATGTATTGCATTTCAGATATTAAAATAAAAAAGTTATTAAGTATACTGTAGTCCAGATATGAGCAGGAACACATAAACTCAATCTTCATTTTTGAAAAGAGATATTAAAATTTTGACTTATATGTATTGATTTCCAGAGTGAGATATCTATTATTTTTTATCAGTGAAACCAGGAGTTTTGAAGTTCACCAGGTAAGAAAATGCCCAGACGAATTTTATATGAAAATCTAAGGAAAGAAGAATAAAATGTGAGAGGTGTATTTAAAAAATTTTGCCTTTGTAAGAGTGAAAATACTCTAATTTTTCTGTATTACATCATTACTTTTAAAAGCCCTATGCCATCTCTCTTTGAAGACAAATTGAACAGTCTTTATAAGTGTGGATTTTTAAATTCTAAATGTGATATTTTAAAATTGATTTACAATAATACTTGCCAGCAGAACATCATGTTACTAGTAATTAGTTTGAACTTTATGCATTTTCCCTATGTCTCACAGAAATTATCCAAGTAATATAATTTTAAACTATTTCACCTTCTGTGTAAGTGACATGGAGTCAGGTGTTACAAGTGTATATCCATGCATGGGTGGGTAAATGTTTCTGTGGATATACCTCAACTGGGAAATCCCATAGGATGCTGCAGTGTACTTGCAAACAAGGTCATTTACATACTTTTTGAAGACTTAATACAGTTGATGTACAATGCCTTTTAACTTTACAATTTTCTTTATTTCATAAGATTTTTGAGCATTCAGGTGCCCTAACTCCTTACAATTGGCCTCCCGTTTTTTCTGTTTAAATTCCATGTTTGCCAGCTACTTAGAAGAGCCAGACTTCTTGCATAGGAACAGTGAAATGAGAAATAAAGAAATGCAGTATGGTTTCCACAGAAAATATAGATTCCAAAGCTAGCATCCAAAATCTTTAGAGTCTCTCATGAAGACCTAGTGGAGTTTTTTGAAACCAGGCCTAAGTATTTCATACTTCTCCAGGCTGAATATATATATATTCCTGTGACTCAGAGCAAATTTCATAAAACCAAGTCTGCATTGTGATAGAGATTTGTCTAACTTCTGCTGCTGCCTCAGATAATAGGTCTAGACTTTTGATTGATTATTTCACTATCATCCTATACTGTTGTTTAGTTGTTAGAAAATCAGAGTATCAGAAAATGGCTGGTCTCAGAAGGTACCTTTGGAGGTCATCTTGTCCAACCCCGTTTTCATGCAGGGTCACCTAAAGCTTGCCTAGGATCATGTCTAGACAGCTATTGAATATCTCCAAGGATAGAGACTCCACAACCTCTTGGCTACCTTGCTAATCCTGAGTCACCTCATACTGGAGAAGTGTTTGCTGATATTCAGACGAAATCTCCTGTGATTCAATGTGTGCTCATTGCCTCTTTTTCTGTCACTGGATACCACTGGAAAGAGCCTGGCTCCATCCTCTTTGCACCCCTCCAATAGGTTTTTGTACACAATGGTGGGATCACCTCTGACCCTTCCCTTCTCTCAACTGACTATCATCCTTTCCTCATATATTGCTTAAAAAAATTCATGACCCTTTGCTGGATTGTCTCTAGCAGCTCCATATTGCTTCCTATTTTGCTTCTGACTTTTCTCTCCCCTTATGGATGATCCATCTTATTTTTCACAGAAAAGTTTTCCAGTCTCGGGTGTTTTCCTCATGGGAACATGGTTTTCATCTGTCTATTGGAAGACCTAGCCAGTCAGTGTTTATATAACGTTAATGTTCTGACACAGCCAGAATGAGAATAACAATTTGGTTGAATTACATACAGAAGAGCTGCTAAAATCTAATCTATTTAATGAGAGACTATTTAAAAAGCAAATATTTGCTAGTTAAATATGCTCAAACATGGGTGAATTTTAAGCATCTCTGATAATGCCTAATTTACAGATTTTGTTTTTATTATAGTAATATTGGTATAATAGCAATATTTAATGAAAGGTTATCACCTCAGGTGTCCTAGATTTTATTTCCCTTTCACTCTTGAAACTTTGAGAACTTGCAAAAATTAATCTTTTAAAACTGATCAGATCTACCATATTTCTAGAATGTCAGTAGATTATGCATTTCTTTAGGTGCTGTTACCAACTTTACTGGATTGTTAAATGAGAAAATATTTTCAGAAATGTTTTGTGGGTCAAATTGTATGGTCTAAATTGTACTTCAGCCTAGATTCTTGCTATGAGCACTGCTTTGTAAGAAAACTCTCATATGGGGAAAATTCTGGCAGAACAGTTTTTGCTTTCCTTCCTCCTATATGCTTTACTAATGGGGTAGAGTGTTTTCAATAAATCAGAGTAATCCTTGCAAACTCAGTAAAAGGAAGAAATGCGATGGTTACAATGTGATACCGTTGGGATGGTCATTTGAACCATAAGCAAAAGTAGATTTAAGTATCTCATTTTGAGAGCTAGATATCAGCATCCCAAGTAAATTAATTGAAATATTTGATTACATTTAATGTTGTTGGTAATCATATTTATCTACTGATCTATAAAACATGTAACAATTAATACTAATTGCCTACTCAGCTATATTTGGGGTTCTGTAAATTCATGAGTATTTACTCATGATTTATGTTGTGTAACTGTAAAATAAATTTGGGAAGAACAACAGCAACCTGGTTATAGAGGAGCAATTTAAAAAGGGATTTTACGACTCCAGTTTTTGAAGTCAACACATTTTGACTGTTTAGATTAAAATGGCTGATCTTGCTTAGGCAGTGCTAGACTATTTTGTTATATTATCTGGTTATGATTCTTACTGTTCTTATTTGACTGAGGCTACAGGGAAACAGCAGTTTTTTGTCTTGGTTGTGACTGATTTTTTTCATTTGATACATCTTCTTCCAAATTTTCTCTTTTTTACTGACCCAGTTGTGAAACAAGAAGACCAGTTTCATATGTAAATGAGAAAAACAGTGCAGAACATTCATTTTAAGTAGAAAAGCAGTGCAAGTGATAAAAAGTTCCCACACAAGACCAGTCAATTCTAAGAAATCATTTCTTGAAATGCTTTATCCTCCCATAATTCTGGTTTTCTGCATTATCTTCAACCTGAGCCAAATTTTGTGAAATGAGGATTTGTATACAGATGGTTGTCTATTGAAGTGCAGGTCTAAGACCAGACTCATTTCATCTCTGTATTACACCTGACTATAAAAGCATGATACAAGTCCTCTCAGGTAGTAAGTACAATCACGTTTATCTGATGGAAAATAGCACACCTGACTACCGTGTTAGACTTACTAACTTGTTAGCACAATGACTACTAATGGTAATTCTTATGGTATTTTTTCCAGTAAGATCACATGGGTGCTTCTGACAAAGAAAATGTCTCCTCTTGGTCAGTAGGGATGGCAGAATGCTCATAAACACGGAATTAAGTTCAGATTTCTCTAGTTAAGTTGAGTGTTATTCTTCAAAATGCAAAATAAGCAAAAAGATTCTGAATGGATCTGTAAATATATCCTCTTCCACTACAGTGATGTATTAAAATGCCATGTGGTTAGCTATGTGATGTTCTCACTTGCTAATATATGCAGAAATATTTTTGTACCCTTCTGAAAGAGAGAGACAGAGAAAAGCAGGATTTCATAACAGAAAAAAATAACTTGGTATGATGGTATCAATAATTTCTGCATTAATTATTGTGTTGCCATAGTTTTGAAACACTTCCCATTTCCAAGAAGTATATGTATAATTAT